GAATGTCCGAGATGGATGAATCTCCGAGCAGAGATGGATGAATCTCTGAGCAGAGATGGATGAATCTCCGAGCAGAGATGGATGAATCTCCTAGCAGAGATGGATGAATCTCCGAGCAGAGATGGACGAATCTCCGAGCAGAGATGGATGAATCTCCGAGCAGAGGATGGCATGAATCTCCGAGCAGAGATGGACGAATGTCCGAGATGGATGAATCTCCGAGCAGAGATGGATGAATCTCCGAGCAGAGATGGATGAATCTCCGAGCAGAGATGGATGAATCTCCGAGCAGAGATGGATGAATCTCCGAGCAGAGATGGACGAATGTCCGAGCAGAGATGGACGAATCTCCGAGCAGAGATGGATGAATCTCCGAGCAGAGATGGACGAATCTCCGAGCAGAGATGGACGAATGTCCGAGCAGAGATGGACGAATCTCCGAGCAGAGATGGATTAATCTCCGAGCAGAGATGGACGAATCTCCGAGCAGAGATGGACGAATCTCCGAGCAGAGATGGATGAATCTCCGAGCAGAGATGGATGAATCTCCGAGCAGAGATGGACGAATGTCCGACCAGAGATGGATGAATCTCCGAGCAGAGATGGACGAATCTCCGAGCAGAGATGGACGAATGTCCGAGCAGAAATAGACGAATGCCCGAGCAAAGATGGATGAATCTCCTAGCAGAGATGGATGAATCTCCGAGCAGAGATGGACGAATCTCCGAGCAGAGATGGATGAATCTCCGAGCAGAGATGGATGAATCTCCGAGCAGAGATGGATGAATCTCCGAGCAGAGATGGACGAATGTCCGAGATGGATGAATCTCCGAGCAGAGATGGATGAATCTCCGAGCAGAGATGGATGAATCTCCGAGCAGAGATGGATGAATCTCCGAGCAGAGATGGATGAATCTCCGAGCAGAGATGGACGAATGTCCGAGCAGAGATGGACGAATCTCCGAGCAGAGATGGATGAATCTCCGAGCAGAGATGGACGAATCTCCGAGCAGAGATGGACGAATGTCCGAGCAGAGATGGACGAATTCGAGCAAGATGGATGATCCGAGCAGAGATGGACGAATTTCCGAGCAGAGATGGATGAATCTCCGAGCAAGATGGATGATTCGAGCAGAGATATTACAAACGACGAAAGACTGAAGGAGCGTAGATGGTCGACCTTGGTGGATAGAATTACCCCTGAAGGAACTGAATTGGCAAGATAGAATTACCAGGAAAATCGTAATAACTGCCTGAATATTCTAACAATAGTGATATAAGTAATAACAGTACGGCAGAGGTCGAAATGGAGGACTCAGAGACAAGGGACATAAATCAAGACATATTAGTAATATTCACGCCAGGAAATACTTCTTCAGATTCTTGATCAGAAAGTTAAATTAAAATAGGATGAAATAGAAAAAATACGTACACAGTTTTAATGATATGTACGTGAGGTAATATAATTACAATATATTACATATTCTTGAGGGATAGCCAAAATACAAAAATAAATTGTGAAATGAATGTGAAAGGTCAGAAATGAAAATTAAAAAGGGATAGGCATATCACAAAAATAAATTGAGAAGAGAGCAGTAGGATATGGCACGGGTTGGACGCCGCATGTGCGCTACTTGTGGTGCTGAGGTCCTCTTGGGCGCGGAGGGAGATCTTCGGTCCTTTCACTCCTCCTAGCAACTATTCCTCCCCATTCCCCCCTTTTTTTATTCTTTTTTTTCATTATTAGCAATTTATTAAAAAAAAACTGCCCTAATTCCAGACAACAAGAGCCAGATGAAAATTTACGAAAGATACCTAGGAAACCCCTGCCTCAGATAGGTAATTATATTCCCACGAAAATCCAGTCTCAGATAGGTAATTATATTCCCACGAAAATCCAGTCTCAGATAGGTAATTATATTCCCACGAAAATCCAGTCTCAGATAGGTAATTATATTCCGGCGAAAATCCAGTCTCAGATAGGTAATTAAATTCCTCAGAACATAAGAAAGAAGGAACACAGCAACAGGCCTTCTAACAAATGCGGAGCAGTCCCATGTGTCCCCACCGGATTAGCCCAATGACCCACCCAGTCTGGTCACCTTCACTCAAGAAAGGAGCACGGCACCAGATCCAGCAGCACAAGCTAGTCAGGTCCAACTCACACCCACCCACACCCACTCATGTATTTATCTAACCTATTTTTAAAACTACAAAACGTTTTAGCCTCAATAACTGTACTCGGGAGTTTGTCCCACTCATCCACAACTCTCCAAACCATACCCCCGGCCGGGATTGAACCCGCGGATTCAATCCCGGCCGGGGGTATGGTTTGTTTGCAATCGTGTCATTACGATTTCTTGAGTCATCCACAACTCTATTACCAAACCAGTGCTTTCCTATATCCTTCCTGAATCTGATTTTTTCAAACTTGAAACCATTGCTGCGAGTCCTGTCTTGGCTGGAAATTTTCAGCACGCTATTTACATCCCCTTTATTTATTCCTGTTTTCCATTTATACACCTCTACGCCTTTCGAGAGAGTGCAGATTCAGGGCCCTCAGTCTATCCTCATAGCGAAGATTTCTGATACATGGGATCATCTTTGTCAGCCTCCTCTGTAAGTTTTCCAGAGCATTTGTATCCATTCTGTAATACGGTGACCAGAACTGACCAGCACGGTCTGAGGCCTAACCGAGAATATATAGAGTTGAAGAACAACCTGAGGACTTATATTTTTTATACTTCTAGATACGAAGCCAAGAATTCTGTCAACTTTATTGCAAACACTAATGCACTGTTGTCTTGGTTTTAGATTACTGCTAACCAGAGCTCCTAAATCCTTTTCGCAATCAGTAGTATTAAGATCTACTTTATTTAGTTTATTTGTCACATGGTTATTTTCCTGTCGAACATTTAGAACTTTGCATTTGTCTATATTAAACTGCATCTGCCACTTCTCTGACCATTGAATCAGTCTATTCAAATCATCCTGGAGTGCTCTGGTGTCCTCATTAGAATGAATTTGACGGCCTATTTTGGTGTCATAAGCAAATTTGCTTATGTCGCTATTTATTCCCTCATCTATGCTGTTTATGTAAATTGTGAACAACAACGGGCCCACCACTGACCCCTGAGGAACACTGCTGGTGACATGCCCCCATTCTGATTTCTTCCCATTTATGCAAACTCTCTGCTGCCTATTTGTCAACCATGCCTCTACCTAGGAAAAAATTTCTCCTTCTATTCCGTGTGCCTTATGTTTCCTTAATAGCCTCTGGTGTGGAACTCTATCGAAAGCCTTACTGAAGTCCACATACACAATATATTCATTACCATGATCTACCTCCTCAAACACCTTAGTGAAAATTGTTAGTAAATTCGTAAGACATGAACGCCCCTTAGCAAAACCGTGTTGAGATTCATTAATCAATCTGTGCCTATCAAGATGGCAACGAATTGCTTCGGCAATTATTGATTCCATAAATTTTCCCATTATAGAGGTAAGGCTTATTGGTCTATAGTTCGCAGCCAAGGACCTGTCACCTGCCTTGTAAATAGGTATTACATTTGCCATTTTCCACTTATCAGGCACTATGCCAGTTTGTAGTGATATGTTAAAAAGATTAGCCAAAGGTATGCTAAGTTCCTCTTTACATTCCTTTAATAATATCACCCTTGCAAACAGTTCATCAGGGCCTGGGTATTTGTTTGGTTTTAGTTTCTCAATTTGTCTGAGGATCATGTCACTAGTGCATAGTGTATTATCATCCTGTTCTACATAATCTCTTATTTCAGGAATATCGCTAGTATTTTCCTGGGTGAAAACTGAGAGGAAGTAGGTATTGAGAATTTCACACATATCCTTATCACTGTCAGTGATCTGACCAGAGATACTCTTAAGTGGGCCAATCTTGTCCCTAATCTTACTTCTGTATACCTGAAAGAACCCTTTTGGGTTAGTCTTTGAATCTCTTGCGACCTTAGCCTCATAATCCCTTTTTGCTTTTCTTATTCCTTTCTTTATTTCTCTCTTTAATTGAATATATTGATTTCTTAACTGCCCATCCCATCTTTTGATACGCCTATTTATGCCTCTTTTTTGACCAATGAGATGTTTTAATCTATTGTTCATCCATTTGGGATCATTTTTGTTAGATTGCATTCCCAGGAATCCCCAGTCTCAGATAGGTAATTATATTCCCACGAAACCCCATTGTCAGATAGGCAATTACATTCCCACGAAACCCCAGTCACAGATAGGTAATTATATTTCCCTGAAACCCCAGTCTCAGATAGGTAATTATATTCCCCCAACACCCCAGTCTCAGGTAGGTAATTATATTCCCATTAAAATGGTATAAAATACCAACAGATTGTTAGGTAAGACACATATGCAACAGTTAGGTATCTTTATTTCGAAACGTTTCGCCTACACAGTAGGCTTCTTCAGTCGAGTACAGAAAAGTTGATAGAAGCAAAAGATACTTGAAGACGATGTAATCAGTCCATCACCCTTAAAGTTTTGAGGTGGTCAGTCCCTCAGTCTGAAACATATTGTTTCAGACAACGGAACAATGCTCTTCTCCAGACTGAGGGACTGACCACCTCAAAACTTTAAGGGTGATGGACTGATTACATCGTCTTCAAGTATCTTCTGCTTCTATCAACTTTTCTGTACTCGACTGAAGAAGCCTACTGTGTAGGCGAAACGTTTCGAAATAAAGATACCTAACTGTTGCATATGTGTCTTACCTAACAATTATATTCCCACAAAACTTCAGTATCAGATAGGCAATTATATTCCCACGAAACCCCAGTGCCAGATAGGTAATTATAATTACACAAAACCCCAGTCTCAGATAGGTAATTATAATCACACGAAACCCCAGTCTCAGATAGGTAATTATAATCACACGAAACCCCCAGTCTCAGATAGGTAATTATAGAAGACTGTTTCGTTTCTCTAAATTTTACTCTGCAGACATCACAGATACTCACAGTTCATATCGAGCTCTACCGCTGCCTCTTTTGTAGGTGCTAATTCGTGGTTGTCTGCCTTGCAGGTGTAGGTAGAGCGGAGATCTTCCTTCTTCAGTGCCCGCAGGTGTATCGTGTTCACTGCTACACTCCCAGGTTCATCGCCCACTCTCGTAGAGATGGCGGAGGTGACATGCGCTTCACTGCAACACAACAGCACCGAGTTTGACATGGTGACAGTAAAGTGGATAGTGTTAAGAGGTCTGGAGTTTTAAGACTCTCAGACGCGGGTTCTAACCTCACCTGTGTTATGGTTTGTTTGCAATCGTGTCATTAAAATTTCGTGAGTCAAAAATGACGAGATACCCTGCAAAACATCTTTCGAGACTCACAGATTGATTAATAATCCCAAAAATAAATAAAATATGGATATGTGAATATACACAAGCACTGCAACACACACTAGAGGACTCACTTGGGTGACGCCTGGTTGGGACTATCCAGGTGGTGTCCGTTCTTCCACCAGGTGACAGTGGGTGGTGGGTCTCCTCCAAGCACTTGGCAAGTGAGGGAAGGTCTCTCACCCACTGTGTAGGGCCCTGCCACACCTACCACCTCTATTCCACTCTCGTCCACTATCCTCACACTCTCTACCGGCTCTGTTAAAACAAAAGGTATGGTACTTTTACATCCCATATTTGGCTACTTTCTGTATACTGTTCAGTGGCAATTCACAGGATGTAATTTGTTGGGAACCAACTCAGACCACCATTGTAGTCAATGGATGCAAAGTTGTCTATAGATTACTGCAAAATACCTTGACAAAGAAATAACCCTGCATGAAATGGGGTCATGAACTGCTGACCAATCAACGAAGACTACTTCCACAAACATTCATGTCTCTAGAGACACAGCAGAAATCGATGTTGATAAATTAGACACATGTGCAACACTTGGGTATCTTTAATGAGGAAACGTTTCACCACACAGTGGCTTCATCAGTCCATACAAAGGAGAATGGTGAAGAACAGGAGGAGTTGAGGTAATCAGTCCCTCAGCCTTGAGTTGATGTGATCATTCCATCAATCTTGAAAAGATTGTGTACGAAACGTTTCCTCATTAAGTATACCCAAGTGTCGTACATGTGTTTAATTTATCAACTTGTCGGTTCTCTGAACCATTCATCTACAGAAATCGATGTCTTGCGTTGACTAGCAATGCGGATTAACTAAAGTTCTACATGTACAACACTGGGATGAACGTAATCAAATTTCTGCATAGTCTGAAATCCGGTATATAAATCTTAAACTACTGCAAATGCAATACATATGATGACCATGAACACTGCATGCAGCTTGACTCTGAAAATACTAGCCGAGACTAATGAACGACCTCGTGTAATTCTGTTCAGAAGAAGTGCTGGATGCCCGTCTCCTTGGGAATACGTAGACCCATAGTGTAAATATCAATGGCATGGGAATGTGATTGGAAGTTTTTAAGAAAGAGTGAACGTAAAGCTATAGTAGGTATTGAACTTTAGCACATGGTAGTGAAGAACAGACACGAATCATCGGAACTTCCAAAGGGGAGAGAGAAAACATGCTAGATGAACATACAGAGGAGGTAAATTAAGTCAAGAGAAAGTGAATGTAGAGAAAAAGGGGAATAGTAAAGAGGAGGCGGAAATCTAACGAAGGAGTTCTACTAACATCTGTTGCTCTCCCATATGTAGAAGGAGCATTAAGGTCATGAGAGAGGACGAAATAACGAAGAAAATGGGCATCAAGTCTATCTTGCAAAGATGGAACATACGCCTCAGCATATAGGTTCTCAACCTGGAAGGAACGTAAAGCACCTAGATTGAAACGCAACCCTTGGTAATGAATGGAACCTGTTTTAAAAAGATTTGAGGAAGAAGATGCATAATACAGGTGGTCACCTCAGTCCAGTTTAGATATGATGAGCAAGTGGATAAAATCGGATAAAATAACTTTGAGGAAAAATATTTGGATTTCTTCTTTTAGCCATTAGATTATTCCACTTTCCTTACCACCATATTTTTTTTTACCAGTAGGTATATTTTATTAAACAATATGGTACACAAGACTTAGAAGGTACATTTTTTTTTCAATAAGTCGGTCGTCTCCCACCGAGGCAGGGTGACCCAAAAAAGAAAGAAAATCCCCAAAAAGAAAATACTTTCATCATCATTCAACACTTTCACCACACTCACACATTATCACTGCTTTTGCAGAGGTGCTCGGAATACAACAGCTTAGAAGCGTATACGTATAAAGATACACAACATATCCCTCCAAACTGCCAATATCCCAAACCCCTCCTTTAAAGTGCAGGCATTGTACTTCACATTTCCAGGACTCAAGTCCGACTATATGAACATAACCAGTTTCCCTGAATCTCTTCACTAAATATTACCCTGCTCACACTCCAACAGATCGTCAGGTCCCAAGTATCATTCGCCTCCATTCACTCCTATCTAACACGCTCACGCACGCTTGCTGGAAGTCCAAGCCCCTAGCCACAAAACCTCCATTACCCCCTCTTTCCAACCCTTTCGAGGACGACCCCTACCCCTCCTTCCTTCCCCTATAGATTTATATGCTTTCCATGTCATTCTACTTTGATCCATTCTCTCTAAATGACCAAACCACCTCAACAACCCCTCTTCTGCCCTCTAATACTTTTATTAACTCCACACCTTCTCCTAATTTCCACACTCCGAATTTTCTGCATAATATTTACACCACACATTGCCCTTAGACAGGACATCTCCACTGCCTCCAACCGTCTCCTCGCTGCTGCATTTACCACCCAAGCTTCACATCCATATAAGAGTGTTGGTACTACTATACTTTCATACATTCCCTTCTTTGCCTCCATAGATTACGTTTTTTGACTCCACATATACCTCAACGCACAACTCACCTTTTTTCCCTCATCAATTCTATGATTAACCTCATCCTTCATAAATCCATCCGACGACACGTCAACTCCCAAGTATCTGAAAACATTCACTTCTTCCATGCTCCTCCTCCCCAATTTGATATCCAATTTTTCTTTATCTAAATCATTTGATACCCTCATCACCTTACTCTTTTCTATGTTCACTTTCAACTTTCTACCTTTACACACATTCTCAAACTCATCCACTAACCTTTGCAATTTTTCTTTAGAATCTCCCATAAGCACAGTATCATCAGCAAAAAGTAACTGTGTCAATTCCCATTTTGAATTTGATTCCCCATAATTTAATCCCACCCCTCTCCCAAACACCCTACCATTTACTTCTTTTACAACCCCATCTATAAATATATTAAACATCCATGGTGACCTACTTTTGCCGGGAAGTAGTCTCCCTCTCTTCTACACACCCTAACCTGAGCCTCACTATCCTCATAAAAACTCTTTACAGCATTTAGTAACTTACCACCTATTCCATATACTTGCAACATCTGCCACATTGCTCCTCTATCCACTCTATCATATGCCTTTTCTAAATCCATAAATGCAATAAAAACTTCCGTACCTTTATCTAAATACTGTTCACATATATGCTTCAATGTAAACACTTGATCTACACATCCCCTACCCACTCTGAAGCCTCCCTGCTCATCTGCAATCCTACATTCTGTCTTACCTCTAATTCTTTCAATTATAACCCTACCGTATACTTTTCCTGGTATACTCAGTAAACTTATTCCTCTATAATTTTTACAATCTCTTTTGTCCCCTTTCCCTTTATATAAAGGGACTATACATGCTCTCCGCCAATCCCTACGTACCTTCCTCTCTTTCATACATTTATTAAACAAAAGTACCAACCACTCCAACACTATATCCCCCCTGCTTTTAACATTTCTATCATGATCCCATCAGTTCCAGCTGCTTTACCCCCTTTCATTCTACGTAATGCCTCACATACCTCCACCACACTTACATTCTGCTCTTCTTCACTCCTAAAAGATGGTATACCTCCCTGGCCAGTGCATGAAATTACCGCCTCCCTTTCTTCCTCAACATTTAAAAGTTCCTCAAAATATTCTCTCCATCTACCTAATACCTCCCTCTCCCCGTCTACTAACTCCCCTACTCTGTTTTTAACTGACAAATCCTTACTTTCCCTAGGCTTTCTTAACTTGTTTAACTCACTCCAAATTTTTTTTCTTATTTTCATTAAAATTTCTTGACAGTGCCTCTCCCACTCTTTCATCTGCTCTCCTTTTGCACTCTCTCTCACCACTCTCTTCACCTTTCTTTTACTCTCCATATACTCTGCTCTTCTTATAACACTTCTGCTTTGTAAAAACCTCTCATAAGCTACCTTTTTCTCTTTTATCACACCCTTTACTTCATCATTCCACCAATCACTCCTCTTTCCACCTGCCCCACCCTCCTATAACCACAAACTTCTGCCCCACATTCTAATACTGCATTTTTAAAACTATTCCAACCCTCTTCAACCCCCCACTACTCATCTTTGCACTAGCCCACCTTTCTGCCAATGGTCGCTTATATCTCGCCCGAACTTCCTCCTCCCTTAGTTTATACACTTTCACCTCCCTCTTACATAACTGGTACAAAGATAGCACATACAGTACATGAGGTTTAGGAGTTACATTTCAAGTACATATTGCTACTTTTTTGTGTAGTCTCACACTTGGTTGATACCATCAGGACGCTTTTGGTTGCTGGACGCTTCTCTTGCTATCCTGGTCTCTGATTTTGTCACTGTCAGTGGAACGATTAGTGGGGACAGCCTCTCGATTAGAGGGGTCTGCCTCTCGATTAGAGGGGTCTGCCTCTCGATTAGAGGGGTCTGCCTCTCGATTAGAGGGGTCTGCCTCTCGATTAGAGGGGTCTGCCTCTCGATTAGAGGGGTCTGCCTCTCGATTAGAGGGGTCTGCCTCTCGATTAGAGGGGTCTGCCTCTCGATTAGAGGGGTCTGCCTCTCGAGTAGAGGGGTCTGCCTCTCGAGTAGAGGGGTCTGCCTCTCGAGTAGAGGGGTCTGCCTCTCGAGTAGAGGGGTCTGCCTCTCGATCAGAGGGGTCTGCCTCTCGATCAGAGGGGTCTGCCTCTCGATCAGAGGGGTCTGCCTCTCGATCAGAGGGGTCTGCCTCTCGATCAGAGGGGTCTGCCTCTCGATTAGAGGGGTCTGCCTCTCGATTAGAGGGGTCTGCCTCTCGATTAGAGGGGTCTGCCTCTCGATTAGAGGGGTCTGCCTCTCGATTAGAGGGGTCTGCCTCTCGACTAGAGGGGTCTGCTTCTCGATTAGAGGGGTCTGCCTCTCTATCAGAGGTGTCTGCCTCTCTATCAGAGGTGTCTGCCTCTCTATCAGAGGTGTCTGCCTCTCTAGTTTTTGTACTGACGGGGAATGCAAATGAGGTTGTAATGTCTGGGAAAGACTCAAAAATTTAATGATTGTGGGGACTAGTAACTTGCAACCTCTTTCCGGGAGAACTAAGCAGACATTGCGCCATGCCCTGATAGTTGGTGGAGCATTTAGGATAGAGGAACCATCGTTTACTTTTTTCAAGAAGTCTGTGAGATTCCGAGAAGGGTGTGGTTGGGCTGCTTTACGAATGTGTGTGAGCGTCCTAGTAGTTGTTGCTTTGTCTCTAATATATTATCTGGGGGGATGACGTCTGTTGGAGTGTGTTCAGGTACTTGAAGTGGCTGACGGTCATCGTCTTCCATTGGAGGACATCCCAAACCTTGGCAGCTACCAAGTTTGCGGAGGAAACTATTAGCGTTGTGGCTACGACCCTGTAAACACGATCGACACTTGCCTCTCCTAGCATTGCTAGCCGTGCTTTGTCACATACTACCGGCGAGGGATGTGCTCTTATTGGAGGTTAAAGATTTTCTTAGTGATGGGAGACATGATAGCAACATTCAACAACTTTATGAATTGAGAGGGTGGACACGGATAAATTAAGAGTCGAGAAAGAGGGATGTTAGGAAGTTCTCCTCAGGAAGTGTAGTGACTTGGGCGAAGATGTGGTGGAGGCAGGGCTTATTCATAGTTTTAAGAGCAGGTACGACAGGGCCCACGAGATTTAGGTGAGAACAGGCAAGCGGTACTTTGAGAGGCGCAGTTATATATCTGTAAATACTAGGGATACGGCGATTCCAAAAATTTGCCGATACCTATACTTTTCCATATCATATTTTTGAAATCATAATGATTATGTACATTAAATAAGGGAAAACACATTGCACAATGGCTGTTAAATAACACAGGAAGGTTAAATATTAACTCGCCTCTTCCTCATCGTATTATCTTCACTACATCAACACACAGTAATTTATATAGAAGAAGGGGTTACTAGCCCCTTTCTCCCAATATTTTAATCGGCTCTTAAGACACGCATTGATTAAGGAAGAAGAATTTGTTGCCACTTCACTCTCGAGAAGATTTGGAATAAGAATACGAATTATTAGGAAAAGATAAAAGAACGCGTAGGTGACCATGAATACATGTACTTTCCAAGTGTTATGTGACCTAAGTGTAAGCAGACGTAGCGATATTTACCTGCTATCTTGCTTGTTTGAGACAGGAAGAAAAGACACCAGGAATGTTACCAGTGTGTTAAACAGTTAAACACACAATCACTCACTCTCTACGAGTGTTTTTAACTTGATTTCTCTTAGATGACAATGTCATTACTCATTGCTAGGAATTTTTAGTTGCTACTTGTTAAAAACACTCGTAGAGAGTGAGTGATTGTGTGTGTTTAACTGTTTAACACACTGGTAAGATTCCTGGTGTCTTTTCTTCCTGTCTCAAACAAGCGAGATAACAGGTAAATCTCGCTACGTCTGCTTACACTTAGGTCACATTACAATGAACTTCATCTGCCAATTTTCTGACCAGGAACTGAGTTCGTCTAAATCATTATGAACTTCCGAGTCATCCACGTCTGAATCTTGCCTATCTTCGTATCATCAGCGAACTGCTAATATCACTAGTAATTCCCTCGTCAAGGTCATTGATATAGTATATTATAAACAACAATGGGTCTATAACCGACCCCTGTGGAACGTTACTTGTTACAGATCCTCACTCAGATTTAACCCCATTAATACACACTTTCTGCTTCCTGTTGGTGAGCCATGAGTCGATCCATGACAGCACTTTTCCCCCCAATGCCATGAGCTGCCACTTTAACAGTCCCTGGTGCGGTACTCTATCAAAAGCCTTACTACAATCCAAATAAACAATATCGAATTCTCTGCCGTGATTAACAGCCTCGAAAGCTTTACTGAAGAAAGATAGTAAATTAGTTAGACAAGAACGGCCTCTCGTGAATCCATGTTGCGTATCATTAATGAAATTATGCTTATCAAGATGGCTTCTTATAATATCAGCTATAATTGACTAGTAATTTGCCTACAATTGAGGTTAGTTTTATTAGGTGGTAATTAGACGGTAACGACTTGTCCCCTGCTTTAAAAATAGGAATTACATTGACCATCTTCCACATATCAGACACTACACCTACTTGAAGAGGTATATTAAAAATATTAGCTAATGGTTCACAGAGTTCCATTTTGCACTCCTTAATAAGAACCCTTGAAAAACGTCATCAGGGCCCGGGATTTATTTTGTTTGTCGGTCTACTTGTTTCAAAACCATATCGCTAGCTAGTGATTGCTATATTACATAATTTATCTTCTTCAAGCCCACTATAAAAATAAATTTCTGAGATACTGTTATTGTTAGCTTCGTACAGCTCCTCGAGAGCCAGTCATAATAAATACCTCGTTAGTTATTAATACGTCCTTTTACCCAACATTCTTATATTTTCACTGGGATGTAGACGGTGACTCACGTAGCCATTGCTTTGAGCAGGACTGAGTAATGGTCTTTGTGGGGGTCATGACAGGATGAGTGGTACCCCAGTGACAGGATGAGTGGTACCCCAGTGACAGGATGAGTGGTACCCCAGTGACAGGATGAGTGGTACCCCAGTGACAGGATGAGTGGTACCCCAGTGACAGGATGAGTGGTACCCCAGTGACAGGATGAGTGGTACCTCAGTGACAGGATGAGTGGTACCTCAGTGACAGGATGAGTGGTACCCCAGTGACAGGATGAGTGGTACCCCAGTGACAGGATGATCCACAATTAGGGGTAGACTCGCAATCAATAAAAAATGGACCTACAGTTCAGATAAGATTGACAATAAGTGGTGAACGCGCAATTATAAGGAAACCTATAGTAAGGGTCGAGCTTACAATAAGTTATTTCTATAACAAGCAATGAACTATAAATGAGGGGTGGCCTAATAATAAGGAATGAACATATAATAAGAAGCACGGCCACAAGAAGCTAATTTACAATAAAAGCAATACGCGATAGAGGAAGGGTCCACAAGAGAAGGGTTGACTTAAAATAGGAGGTGAATTAATTATAACATGACTCACGAAATTGTAATGATACGACTGCAAACAAACCATACCACGGAATGGTTTGTTTGCAATCATGTCGTTACGATTTCGTGAGTCATTTGAGGGGACTTAAGCTAGAGTTCGTCACGGCCACGCTGGTGGGAGATTCGTCTATAAAAAGCTGCATTTGTGGTCACAGTGGCGCCTATGCTAACCTTCCTATGGTGTATAAATATACCTAGTTGGATGAATCTTATTGTAGCCTGCTAGCCCAGTGGCTAACGCGTCGGTCTGGAGTTTTATGACTCTGATCGTGGGTTCTATCCCCGCCCGTGGTATGGTTTGTTTCACTATAATATATGACCAACAATAAAATAGAGCCAACCACTGCGACACTGACCTGTGAGAAAAGGTTAATCCTAACATGTTTGGGTAATGACGATTCACCACTACAGAAATTAATAATGACAGCGAGCTTGACCATGTTGTGGATAGTGGTGACCCAGCGCCGCGAAACTGACCTATGACAGTGAGGTTGATTCTGGCGTGAGTAGTGGTACGACGCTTATAGTCGACCCTGCAGCGATATACAGCCTGGTCGGAGCGTCGGGTCTGGTTGAGCACAAGGGCTGCCGGGAGGGTACTCATGCTGAAGTGTGCTCTCTCGCCCAGTATAAGTGGGTCAGCCCATTCCTTCGGCCGAGAGTAGACGCCAGAGCGCGTGTCGTAACTGAAGCAAGATGGAAAATTTTGTTAATGCATATGAAAGAGTAAGACCCCATGGACCCCGATGTATACTGGTCTCCTCTACCTCAATGCATGTGATTAGAATAGTGCAGAGTGCAGCATAAGTTTCTAATGTAGTTAAATATTAGTATAAAAGATCTGGCATACAAGTCATCATGGTGACATAGTCAGCAGGTTGGATAATATTATGTCAGGTAATGGGAACAAGCCCATTATCTGTCTTAGTGCTGGGGGTAATGACATTGGGAAGGGCAGAAGACAGGAGCTGCTGGATAAGTACACGTCAGCCATAGAAGTAGTTAGGTCTAAGGGAGGGATCCCAGTCATATGTAACATCTTGCCTTGAAAGGGAGTGGGCAATGAATGGATGTCTAGGGCAATTGGTATAAATTGCTGGCTAGGCAGGTACTGCAAGGAACTTGCAACCCAATTCATTGATAACTGGGACCTATTCTTTGGCAAACGTGATATGTATGCAAGGGATGGGGTTCATCTCTCTGGGGATGGGAGTGGTTGCATTAGCCAATTCAATTGAGAGGGTAATTGATGACTTGTCTAGGAATTTAAACTGATAGATTATAGAGGTATGGGTGTTTGTGAGAAACAATCAGGCTGCAGCATTAGGGTTAAAAACAGCATTTATTACCGGGATACCTCAGGGATATGTTTAAAAGGCAATATTCAAAATAAAGTTGCTACTAGTGGCAAATCAATTGATCAACAAACAAAGAGAGATAGTAGAGGGCAACGAGTGACTAACTCCCTTAAGGTTTACTATATAAATAGTAGGAGTCTAAGGAATAAGATAGATGAGCAAAGATTACTTGCAAGTGTAGGTAATATAGATATTATTGGTATAACAGAGACCTGGTTCAACTTGAAAGATAGAGAAATGCCTTCTGAATGCAACATACAGGGTTATAAACTATTCCACACTGATAGGGTAAACAGGAAGGGTGGTGGAGTGGCGATATATGTCAGAGAAAATTTAAATTGTTGTCTTTGGCATAAGATTAGAAACATCGAACACAGAATCTGTTTGGCTACAGTTTCTCGAGGGAAGTGACAAATTAATTCTGGGTGTGATTTATAGGCCCCCCAAACCTTGATAGGGAGTGCAGTAAGCTGTTATGGGACGAAATTCATAAGGTATCTAGATATGAAAATGTTGTGATAATGGGAGATTTTAACTTTAGACAAATTGATTGGAACAATATGACAGGAAATCTTGAGTCTAGTGACTTTCTTGATATGGTTCAGGATTGCATTTTAGAACAGGTTGTGACAGAACCAACTAGAGGAAACAATCTGCTTGACTTAGTTCTTGCCAACAAAGATTCACTAATTAATGATCTTGAGGTTAATGATGAGCTTAGGGAAAGTGATCACAAATCACTTAGTTTCAATATATCATGGAATTGGCCAGATAACTCTGTCCCAGATTTTCGCTTGGCCGACTTCATGGGACTGAAAAATTACCTGGGTGGGCTAAATTGGGATGTCCTGACTATGGGTCAGGTAGGTGATCTTAGTTGCCAATATGACGGTTTTTCAGAGCATAGTCCTAGCTGCACAGACAACTTTTGTTCCGAGTAAGGAAATTAGATCTAACAAAAATTATCCCAAATGGATGAACAATAGATTAAAACATCTCATTGGTCAAAAGACAGGCATATATAGGCATATCAAAAGAGGGGATGGGCAGTTAAGAAATCAATATATTCAATTAAAGAGCGAAATAAAGAAAGGAATAAGAAAAGCAAAAAGGGATTATGAGGCTAAGGTCGCAAGGGATTCAAAGACTAACCCAAAAGGATTCTTTCAGGTATACAGAAGTAAGATTAGGGACAAGATTGGCCCACTTAAGAGTAACTCTGGTCAGATCACTGACAGTGATAAGGATATGTGTGAAATTCTCAATACCTACTTCCTCTAAGCTTTCACCCAGGAAAACACTAGCGATATTCCTGATATAAAAGATTATGTAGAACAGGATGGTAAACTATGTACGATTGCGGTAACTAGTGACATGGCCCTCAGACAAATAAAGAAACTAAAACCTAACAAATCCCCAGGTCCTGATGAACTGTTTGCAAGGGTGTTAAAGGAATGTAAAGAGGAACTTAGCATACCTTTGGCTAATCATTTTAACATATCACTACAAACTGGCATAGTGCCTGATAAGTGGAAAATGGCAAATGTAATACCTATTTACAAGGCAGATGACAGGTCCTTGGCTTTGAACTATAGACCAATAAGTCTTACCTCCATAGTGGAAAAATTTAGGGAATCAATAATTGCCGAAGCAATTCATAGCCATCTTGATAAGCACAGATTGATTAATCTCAACACGGTTTTACAAAGGGGCGTTCCTGTCTTACGAATTTACTAACTTTTTTTCACTAAGGTGTTTGAGGAGGTAGATCATGCTAATGAATATGATATTGTGTATATGGACTTCAGTAAAGCTTTCGATAGAGTTCCACCCCAGAGGCTATTGAGGAAATTTAAGGCACACGGAATAGGAGGAGAAATTTTTTCCTAGGTAGAGGCATGGCTGACAAATAGACAGCAGAGAGTTTGCGTAAATGGGGAGAAATCAGAATGGGGGCACGTCACAAGCGGTGTTCCTCAGGGGTCAGTGTTGGGCCCGTTGTTGTTCACAATTTACATAAACGACATAGGTGAGAGAATAAATAGCGACAAAAGCAAATTTGCTGATGACACCAAAATAGGCCTTCCAATTCATTCTAATGAGGACACTAGATCACTCCAGGATGATTTGAATAGACTGATGCAATGGTCGGAGAAGTGGCAGATGCAGTTTAATATTGACAAATACAAAGTTCTAAATGTTGGACAGTTAAATAACCATGCCACATGTAAACTAAATAATGTAGATCTTAATTAATACTAATGATTGCGAAAAGGATTTAGGAGTTCTGGTTAGCAGTAATCTAAAACCAAGACAACAGTGCATTAGTGTTCGCAATAAAGCTAACAGAATTCTTGGCTTCATATCTAGAAGTATAAAAAATAGAAGTCCTCAGGTTGTTCTTCAACTCTATATATCCTTGGTTAGGCCTCATTTAGACTATGTTGCTCAGTTCTGGTCATCGTATCACCGAATGGATATAAATGCTCTGGAAAACGTACAGAGGAGGATGACAAAGATTATCCCATGTATCAGAAATCTTCCCTATGAGGATAGACTGAGGGCCCTGAATCTGCACTCTCTCGAAAGGCGTAAAATTAGGGGGGATATGATCGAGGTGTATAAATGGAAAACAGGAATAAATAAAGGGGATGTAATTAGTGTGCTGAAAATTTCCAGCCAAGACAGGACTCGCAGCATCGGTTTCAAGTTGGAAAAATTCAGATTCAGGAAGGATATAGGAAAGCACTGGTTTGGTAAAAGAGTTGTGGATGAGTGGAACAAACTCCCGAGTACAGTTATTCAGGCTAAAACGTTGTGTAGTTTTAAAAATAAGTTAGATAACTACATGAGTGGGTGTGAGTCGGACCTGACTAGCTTGTGCTGCTGGGTCTGGTGCAGTGCTCCATCCTTGAGTGGAGATGTCCAGACTGGGTGGGTCAGTGGGGGGGCACATGAACCTGCTCTGTATGGGTCAGTAGGCCTGTTGCAGTGTTCCTTCGTTCTTATGTGCTTATGTTCTTATGTGGAAACTAAAGTCTCAGTTTTTTAAAAAATGGCGAATTAGTACATACGTTCTGCCAAGGGAGCGTAAAATGAAAGCCTGTAATTGTTTTACATGATGGTAGGATTGCTGGTGCCTTTTGTCTGTCTCATAAATATGCAAGATTACAGGCATGTCTTGCTACTTCTACTTACACTTAGGTCACAATACACATACATATACACATTTATTTATACACACTCATCTGAGTTTTCTTTCATTTTATCTTAGTTCTTGTTCTAATTACTTTTCCTTTTATATCCATGGGGAAGTGGAATGAGAATCTTTCCTCCGTAAGCCATGCGTGTTGTAAAAGTCAACTAAAATGCCTTGAACAATGGGCTAGTAACCCCTTTTCCTGTAATAATTACTAAAAAGAATAAGAAGAAGAAAATTGTCAAAGTGGGAAGTCTGAATGTGCGTGGATGTTGTGCGAGTGATAAGAAAGAGATGATTGTGGATGTTATGAATGAGAAGAAGCTGGATGTCCTGGCTTTACGTGAAACAAAGCTGAAGGGGGTGGGTGAGCTTCAGTGGAGAGGAATAAATGGGATTAGGTCAGGGGTTTCTAATAGAGTTAGAGCTAAAGAAGGAGTAGCAATAATATTGAAGGATAAGCTATGGCATGAAAAGAGGGACTATAAATGTATTAATTCAAGGATTATGTGGAGTAAATAAAGGTTGGATGTGAGAAGTGGGTTATAGTAAGCGTATGTTCACCTGAGGAAGAGAGAAGTATAGAGGAGAAAGAGTTTTGGGAAATGTTGAACCAAGTGTGAGAGTACTTGTGATTGGAGATTTTAATGCTAAAGTGGGTAAAAATGTTGTGGAGGGAGTAGTAGGTAAATTTGGGGTGCCAGGGGTAAATGAAAATGGGGAGTCTTTAATTGAGCTATGTGTAGAAAGAGGTTTGGTAATAAGTAATACATATTTTATGAAAAAGAGGATAAATAAATATACAAGGTATGATATAACACGTAATGAAAGTAGATTGTTAGATTATGTATTGGTGGATAAAAGGTTGATGGGTAGGCTCCAGGATGTACACGTTTATAGAGGGGCAACTGTTATATCGGATCATTATCTAGTTGTAGCTACAGTTAGAGTAAGAGGTAGGTGAGAAAAGAGGAAAACGGCAACAGCAAGTTAGAGATAGGTGATAGTGTATAAACTAAGGGAGGAGGAAGTTCGGGTGAGACGTAAGCAACTATTGGCAGAAAGGTGGGCTGGTGCATGTACGAGTAGTGGGGGGGGGGGGGGGTTGAAGAGGGTTGGAATATTTTTA